TTGTGTACAAACACTGTGTGTGATTCCCCCCCTTCACCCCGCTAGTTCCTAGAAAATCACTTAACGATCATTGTGCCTGTGATTTTAAGGCCAGGTTGTTGAACTGTTTTGTTTACTGACAAGCAGGCCTTAAAAACTAGAGGCATATTCTCTGCCCAGCCAGTGACTTGAACGTAGGCACCTCATTGTGGTACTTCACAGCTTTACAGTGTATGTCAATTTTGATTGTATCGGATGGGATTGTATATATGATAAGCATCTTCAAAAATTGTTTTAGAATAATGGGAAATGAATTGACTGTAAGATACTCATTTGGACCCTCATTTTCCTTAGAATGAGGGCATCTTTGTATGCTCAGTTTTGCATCTGGGTACTAATATCTGAGTTTTAAATGCTGTTGTCAGGTAATATATGTTCATTATGTATAATTTTGAAATGGCACTATTCTTGCCTATATTATATTTTTCACAGTTGTTTAATGTAGAATTGTATATGTGGGCGCTTGGTAGCATTTGCTTTCTTTACAAGGAGCTTTATTATTGCTTCCTGTTCACTGATCGCTGTTGATAGATTTGCTGTTTAATTTCTCTTTCCTCCCCAGAGATTACCATTTTAACTATAACTGTTGTTATATAATGTTCTGAAGCTCAAGTAGTATGTATACTTTTTGATTTATACATGGCTATGTTTATTGCAAGCTATTTTTATTTTATGGGAAAGTAGAAACTTAATCATTATGATCGGGTTTTGAAGTGGAATTTCTGTATGGTCCTCATTGTTCTTATGAAATCATACAAAGCATTAAAGCATTCAGACATTACTATTGAACAATATTAATGTATTCCAGTATTGGTGTTTAATTATAGAATTTTGTCTATCTGTAGCTTTGATGGTTTATTTTATTTTAAAAATCAAATTTATATCCTGCTCCCTCTCCCCTGAATGGAACTTGGGGCGGCTAATAGCGTATAAAATCACCCAATAAAAACAATACAAAAGATACAATAAATAAACTTAAAAATATAAAACATTTAAAATATTTCCATTAAAAGATACAATAAATAAACTTGAAAAATATAAAACAATTAAAATTCTATGACCATTAAAATCCATCCACTATCAAGTAGGGTAGGATGCATAGCTGGTGAAGACACAGCTGAAGCATACCAGTTGCCTGGTGGATAACAACCACCCATAAGAACATAAGAGACGCCAATGATGGATCAGGCCAAAGGTCCATCCAGTCCAACATTCTGTCACACAGTGGCCAAAAATACCAGGTGCCATCAGGAGGTCCACCAGTGGGGCCAGGACATTAGAAGCCCTCCCACTGTTGACCCCCCCCCCCAAGCACCAAGAAGACAGAGCATCACTTGCCCCAGAGTCCCTATCTATACCTTGTGGCTAATAGCCACTGATGGACCTCTGCTATTCCCTTTTGAAGCCGTCCATGGTTGTAGCCGCCACCACTTCCTGTGGCAGTGAATTCCATGTGTTAATCACTCTTTAGGTGAAGAAGTACTTCCTTTTATACGTTCTAACCCGACCGCTCAGCAATTTCATGGAGTGCCCACGAGTTCTTGTATTGTGAGAAAGGGAGAAAAGTACCTCTTTCTCTACCTGCTGTATGCCATGCATAATCTTATAAACCTCAATCATGTCACCCCTCAGTCGTCGTTTCTCCAAGCTAAAGAGCCCTAAGCGCTTTAACCTTTCCTCATAGGGAAAGTGTTCCAACCCTTTTATCATTCGAGTTGCCCTTTTCTGCACTTTTCCCAAAGCTATAATATCCTTTTTAAGGTGTGGTGACCAGAACTGCACACAGTGTTCCAAATGAAGTCGCATCATTGATTTATATAGGGGCATTATGATATTGGCTGATCTGTTTTCAATACCCTTCCTAATAATCCCCAGCATAGCATTGGCCTTTTTTTTATTGCAGTCACACACTGTTTCAACATTTTCAGTGAGTTATCTACTACAATTCCAAGATCTCTCTCTTGATCAGTC